GAGGTGCCCAGCTGCTTCAGTGGTTGTAAGACCCAGTGAGCCTACAGTGGGTTTGGAGTCAACATTTGACAAGGTTTGGGCATGCCTTACTGATGAAGGCAGCAACATGATTGGCCTCTATGGCATGGGCGGAGTCGGGAAGACAACTCTCTTAAATCAGATCAACAATGAGCTCTTAAATCAGTTCAACAATGAGCTGGGACAGAGAAGAAATAATTTTGATATTGTGATTTGGGCAAAGGTGTCTAAAAATCACACTATCGAGAAAGTTCAAGATGAGATTGGAAGAAAGATTGGTTATAGTGAAGAAATATGGAAACAAAAAAGTTGTGATCAAAAAGCTACTGTCATCCTTGCAGAGTTGAGTAAAATGAAATTTGTGTTGCTTTTGGATGACATGTGGGAACGAGTTGATTTAGTTAAAGTTGGGATACCCCCTATTCCAAGACAGGGACATGGTTCCAAGCTTATCTTTACTACTCGTTCTCTTGGTGTATGTGGTCAAATGGAAGCTCATAAGAAGATCAAGGTAGACTGTTTGGTTCCAGAGAAAGCCTGGGAATTGTTTGAAAAAGAAGTTGGAGAAGAAACCCTTGATAGCCACCCACAAATCCGTGGACTAGCAAAGGCAGTCGCAGAAGAGTGCAAGGGTCTGCCTCTTGCCCTCATCACCATAGGTCGGGCTATGTCATCCAAGAACACACCTGAACAATGGGAATATGCAACACAGATTCTAAGGAGGGCCGTTGCTAATCATGTTCTTCCAGGTACGAGGGATGTCAATCAAGCACTTCCAGGTATGGAGAATCATGTTCTTCCAGGTATGAGGGATCTCAATCATGCACTTCCAGGTATGGAGGAAGACGTGTATCAACTTTTGAAATTCAGTTATGACAGTTTGCCTCATGAGAAGCTTAAATCATGCTTCTTATATTGCGCCTTGTTTCCAGAAGATTTTCTGATAAGCAAATGTGAGCTCATAGACTATTGGATTGCAGAAGGATTTCTAAATGAAGTTTACAATATTTGTGATCGAAATGAAGGCCATGAGATTATTGGTACTCTTCTTGGCTTATGTTTATTAGAAGAAGCTGAGGACAACGTGAAGATGCATGATTTGATTCGTGACATGGCTTTGTGGATAGCAAGTAAATTTGAAAAGGAAAAATATATAGTGGAAACTAGTGCCCAATTAACTGAAGCACCAGAGATTGAAAATTGGGGGATGATAAGAAGATTGTCATTG